CAGAGAGTACCGTATTTTCACGACCATAAGGCGCACCTAAAAGTCTTAAATTTTCTCCCAAATGTACGCCGCGCCCTATGGTGCGGTGTGCCTATTGTGTTGTTGTGAGACACGAACGTAGTAGAAGACAAGGGGCGTGGCGTGGCGTGCGGATTTGAGCGAAGACAGACCTGTGGATCTGCCACATCGTCATCAACATCCTCACTGTTTGCCTCAGACTCCGGCTGAGTCTCTGTCCACTTCTTCTGCTTCCAGTTCAAAAACAGCCGTACTATCTGAACTGCCTGGTGGACATTTATCCTTCTCATCATCCTTTATATAAGCCTAATAAAAGCCTACTAAACTGCAGAGACAATATATCTGCCCGGATTCGCTCCAAACTATGAAGTTTACCATCAATATCTGTCTAATTGTGTGTTGTTACTCCGTCCGCGCCATTCCTTTCCCCGCGAAGCGGCTCCTTTTTGCACACATCTGGTTACTCGTGCGGCCTTCCTCTCTCTCTCAGATACATAATGATGCTTTTTATCAGTTGAATATGTGAGACTTCCACCAACAGCGAAAGGATCTCATGTTTTTGTGGGTTTTTTATGTTCACAAGCACGTTCCCTCTCACGGATTACTAAACTGCTGTTTTGACAAGTTATCAGATTGTCTAAAAATAGGTCGTGTTTTAGTTTAGTATAACTCTGCTTCTACGTTGCCTATTAACAAAATTTAAAAACTTGGGTGTAGTTTATAATCTCCTTTTTAAAGCTGAATTGAAACTGAAACTCAGGGAGGCGGAGTCTTGCTGCTACAGCGTCCCAAATCAGACCTGATCTAAAGACGCGGATACGCGTCCATGGACCCCAGAGGGTTAATAACACACAATTCAAATCACACGATTTTCATAGGCCTGTTAATAACACACATATGATTTTGTTCATGTGGAAAGTTTATGAGGTTAAATCCAACAACTACCGGTAAACACATTCTGAACTTCAACACAGCACGTCAGTGCTGCGAGCAGCTGCGACCCAAAAAGTACCACAACCGCTCACGGCGCATCAACACCGCTCGCCCGCTATTTCCCTAATAACCAGTGGCGGCTGGCCAGTAGAGGGCGATAGGGCGCCGCCCTCCCAGTTTCCCCAGTGTTTTTAATTTTTTATTTAAAAAAATAAATAAATATAATCAACAATAATCACATATTCTAAGTTAATTGTGTGTTTTGTAACAAAAATAAATCATATATATATATTTCTATATTGGTCTCTGCCAGTCTCTGCTGGTCTCTGCCGAGCGGTGGAGGCTGTGGGCTGTGTTTCAATCGCCCAAATGGGACGGGACCAGTCGTCCAATTGCTGACAAGAAAATCAAAGGGTAGGAATGGGAATGTATCCAATCAGAGTTGACGTTGTTTCAGAAGCATGATGAGCGATAGAGCTACCGCCAAAGGCTTTCGTTAGTGCTCGGTAGAACTCGGAGAGTCTCGACTCCAGCACGTTTTTGGTCGCGACTCGTGACGCAGACATAATAGACATGGACGCCAGTGCGCCTACAACCAGCAGCAGCATGGATACCGGATCTCAGCAGCCACTGAATTCAGTTCGGTCTCTTCTCCAGTATCCGTTCGAGAGGAGAACTATGGTGGAAAAACTTAATGTCAAAGAGCTTGGACCAGATCAGCCCGACGTAAAGATAAGCCAGCAGGAGGAGGAGAAAGGTAAACTGTACACACGAGGCTTCTGGGAAGGCTTGGCTAGCTGGATGCAATCACGCTAATTCGTTATTTTGCTTTCCGTGTTTGTTATTCAAAACCACTGGGACAGATGAGGCATGGATTGAGTCAGGAGTTACGGACATGAAACATTTTTCTGAGAAGGTGAAGAAACATGAGTTATCCCGGGCGCACATGGACAATACGGTGAAGCTAGCTATGCTAGGCAGAGCTAAAATTGCCATGCAGCTAGAGACGAGGGACGCAGGCTTGCAGTGAAGAAACACAATGAAGAAGTGGATCAGAACTGGCACATTTTGTCCAAGAGAGAGATGTCAACACAGTGTATGAGCACAAGGATGACCTCCTCAGATTTTTCCAGATGATCAGAGACTCGGATGACTTTGATCCAGTCACTGAGAGAGAGGCAGGAGGCTTTGTGAGAATGCTGGAGGAAGAAGATTTTGGCTTTCTGCTGGCATTGTGTCACAAGATCATGCCACATGTGGACATGCTGTTCAACCAGTTGCAGAAGAGGATCATTGACTCTGTCTACATCACAGGGGTCATCCAGAGCTTCCCCAACAGTATGCAAAAGATCAGGTACATACTTGTTTTTTTAATATTATTGTGATGAAATTCTCCAGTATGTTAGTTTCACAAACAGTAATGTGGATGTGGACCATTTATGGTCATGTTATTTTATGTGCAATTGAATGCAGTATTTTTCAACCTTGGTCCGCAAGGCAGCGTGCCAATAGTCAGACACACGTGGATTAATCCCTTTGTCCAATAATGTAAGACAGGAAATAAAAGAGCTGTGCTTAATTCAGGAAATAGTGAAGTTGTGCACAAAGCTCAGAAAGCACAAGTTTAAAAAAAAAAATAGCACAGCCCCACCAAAAATATCTTTCACCAGCCGCCACAGCTAATAACACACGCTGTTCGTTTTTGTTTCTACACGTTTTTTTTTTCACTCACAAAGATTGTCAAGAAAGCGTGTTTGTCGTGTTCATGTCAAATTAAACTGATCACAAAACACAGATTTACTTTCTTTATTTCGTTTTCCTCATCCAACCCCCATAAATCCCTGTGTGTCCTCCTGCAGCACTCCCGGTGTACGCCCGGCTTTAGTAGGAGGGAGACCCGTGATTATTGCTTTGTCACGCATGTCTCATTGAAAATGAATGGAGGAGAGGCGAAGTTGCCTCCCGTGTGTCGAACCCATTAGAAGAGCACGAGCCGTCAGCGCACGCAATGAGGAAGTGCATGTGCGCTCTAAACCAGGTCTAAACCAGGACTAGACCAGTAAAGTGAAGCATGCTTTTGGCTGTTTATAATTTTCACAATGTCTGGTTTGCACTGACATGTTCGGAGTCCCGAGCCTGCACAGATGTTTTACCGTGCCCCGCCCTATAACCCGGTGCGCCTTTTGTATGTGTTAAATACCAAAAAGACACCCTAACTGAAGCCTATAACACGGTGCGGCCTATGGTCGTGAAAATACGGTAATCAAAACTGCAGAGAAAATAAACACACACCTGCTTGCCCTGGATGACATCTTCACCATGGCCTTCGACAAACCAGTGGACCCAGAACAAACCCAAAAATTTTTGTCTAACATTGTTTGGCTTATCACGTTGCTGTGGCAACTCAAAATGCTAAGAAAAGTAATTGCACACCTCTCCCGACCAAGCCAGTCGATTTGATGTAAGATTTGTGGGGGTGCTTCTGTTCCAGCCACATTAGTGTATACGGTAAAAGAATAATAAAAACAATAAAAACAGACAATTTCTCCGGTGAAGAACAATAATAACTAGAAAATTTCTGAAGACATTTAGAAAGGAAGGGGTCTGGCGCAAGACGGTAGCAACATGGTGAGAAGCCAGGTGCCAGGTAGCTATAGCTCACCTAGGTGCTAGTTAAGCAAGCGATTGCTCATATATAAACCCAGACATTACCAACCTAACAACTGGTTTTAACACCGAAGCCATCAGACATGAAAGCAGGTCAGGGGTGAAAAAGGTGAGACACCATAGATGTCATCTCCCGCATTCTAGTGCTTTTAACCAGTTGTTTAATGTATTAAAATTATTATTTTAAATTAACAACTTAAGGTTTTTAAGGTTTAAAAAGTAAATCAATTATCAATGAAATAAGATCAATATAAAAAAATAACATGAAGTAACATGTTTGGCCTGGTTTGTTAATTTGTTTAAATGGTCTCATTTCAGAAATGTGATGAAGCATGAAGCTCTGCTGCTGAAAAAAAAACTATAGAGAATCCTAAACTTCCAATAATAAGTGTTGGATGTTTATTTTATATTACTGATAATATCATCAGCAGGAGGGTGTGTATCCCCAGAAATCATGTTAAGCTTGGCGGACCGCACCCAGGGGCGTAGCAAGCTTTTCTAAAGTGTGGGTATTGAGGGTCCTGTTGTTATTCCACCATAAGGGGTGCACCAGCACCAAAGAGCAGAGATGAAAAAGATCAGAGGTGAAAAGTAATGAACAACTGTAGGGGGGTCCGTGGGCATGCCCCCGGGGAGAAAATTGTGGACATTTTATCCTAAATTTATCAGGCTGACACATTTTGAGAAAGAAAGTGGAGTTACAGGCTAGTAGGAATGTGTAATAAAGTATCTATACATGTTAATGGTGTTATATTATTGTATTTGAGTTAACAATGTTTCCTGTCCTGTCTTTAATACATTTTGAACACTGACTGTAGTGAAATCCTCTGATTCATCCATGCTGCTCAGTACCAGAACTGTTCTGATATGACCAGTCACCAAAAGAACCAATCAGCTGGCAGAGCTCCCTGTTGTAGCGCACGGATCGCTCCGCTACTGTTCGTGTCAGCGGATGGAGGGCTCGCGGTTCGTTTCGCTGCCGTGCGTCGTTCGTGTCAGTGAAAAAGTTAGCCCCACCCCCGAACCCCGCTCTGACGGTCGGGGAACAGAGAATCAATTATTTATATAGCGCCAAATCACGACAAGAGTCGTTTCAAGGCACTTCACATAATAAACATTCCAATACAGGTCAGGGGTCTCATTCATCAAGCTTGCTTACGCACAAAACGTTGTGTTAGCAACTTTCCACGCAAACTTTGGGATTTATGAAAGAAAACTTAGTGGAAAAATGTGCGTAACTTTAAGTTGACTAAGGACCTGGCTTACACACATGTTGGACATGGAGAGCACCTGCAGTGCTGCTGCTGAGAAGGATAACATTATGAAATCCTGCAGCATTATCACTTGTACCGCTTCGTTTTTACACAGAACAAGACCCCCCCCCCCCCCCCCACACACACACACACACGTGCACACACACACAGACTGAAGCGTAGAATACGGAATGCAGAATAACAGCAGGGGAACAGATTGAGACAGAACATCATGCGTCTGTGACAGTGTGTGTCCTGTCACTGTGACCCGATTGATGATGCACCCTGGCTACTTGGACAGGGGAGATCTCTGTTTGGGTGACTGGTTAGCTGGCGTGACTTTCACCTGGGAGTCTGGGGATCGAATCCTGATTGGATCTTTTTTTTTTATATCCGCCACAGATCTCTCTGAAGAACTCAGCATTGATGGCTTCAGCAACGCTGTACCACTCCGTGGATTTTCTCTTATTTGTTTTGCAAAAGCACTTCCTTTCATTTCTCCACCTCACCCACAGGTACCTCAACTTCTGCTTCTGTGAAATAGCGCTTCCTTGATCTGTCTTGTTCTACAGTCGCCATGTCATTGGCAGAGCGCTGCAATTTTCTACAGCTCAATGTTGGCAAAACACAGGAGCTGGTAATTGATTTTAGAAAGAAAAAACAAACATTCTCTCCAGTGGTCATCAAAGGCCAACCTGTAGAAACTGTGGAGACATATAAATATCTCGGGGTGTACCTCGACGATAAGTTAAACTGGAAAAGGAACAGTGACGCTGTTGTTAAAAAGGCCCAGTCCAGATTGTTTTTTCTTAGGAAGCTAAGATCTTTTGATATAAGTAGAAGGCTCTTGAATGTGTCTTATCAGGGGATTATGGCCAGTGTGTTGTTTTATGCTGTGTTGTGTTGGGGCAGGAGCCTCACTGCTGAGGACAAAAACAGGATCAACAAAATGATCAAGAAATCTGGCTCAGTGGTTGGGCAACGCTTGGACTCATTTGACATGATCATCTACAAAAGGATGAAGCGTAAACTTAAGACAGTTATGACTCTGGAGGATCACCCCCTTCACCACATTTTTAAGGATCTCGGGAGCTCTTTCAGTGGGCGAATGTTAATGCCCCGGTGTTCCACTGAACGTTTTAGGAACTTTTTTATTCCAGCTGCAGTGCGTTTTTACAATGACCATTTCGTATGATTGTATATTTGATATTTTTATATTTTATCAGGACCAGTGAATGTTTTATTGTGTGGATGTGCATGTTGTGTTTACTTGTCCAAGGCAATTCAATTTCCCCCTTGGGGATTAATAAAGACAACCTTGAACCTTGAACCTAGCCGGCTTATGTGTATGCATGACGTCCACAAGGCACTTTGCATTGACTATTTATGGCAGTAAGTGGGCGTGGTGAGGGCGGAATGTGACTAAAAAGCAGCTGAGAACCATTCTTGTTAGTCTCTGATTTATGAAGCGGAGATTGCGTGCAGCTGTGCGTACTCCATAATTGATAGATCACACACCTGCTTGGCGTAAGTAAATTTTTATTGCTGAGCTTAAGTACGGTTTTAGTAAGGATTCTACGCCATGTTTGATAAATGAGATCCCAGTTCATTAAGCCAATCAGAAAAAAGTTTCCTGTATAAGGAACCCAGCAAATTGCATCGTCACTGACTAGTGTCAGAGTCTTTACAGCAATCCTCATACTAAGCAAGCATGCAGCGACAGTGGAGAGGAAAACTCACACACACACACACACACACACACACACACACACACACACACACACACACGCGCGCACAGAACACACACACACCAAGTAGTGTTTCTATGGTTACATTGTGATTTCTTAGTAAATATTCTATTTGGTGAGAGATAAACTTTATTGTATTTTTTCTAGTGGATCTATAATTCAACGTCAAAGAGAGTAAAAAGTTATTATCAGGAGAAGGAGAATGTTTAAGTGGTTAGCAGCAGTGTGCTAGACGATGGCCCCCTCCATGAAGCCACCACAGCTCAGCAGAACGTCATTGTAGCTTCTTTTGGGGAGAAAAACACTTAGAGAGAAAAAATAAAGTTAACAGCTGAAATAGCAAAAAATAATACAGTTAAAGAGCAGATTGTAGAAGAAAGTAGTCGAGTGTGGAAAGTGGTCAGTGTATCCTCCAACAGTCTAAGCCTATTGCAGCATAACTACCGAGATAACTCTGGATAACCTAGCCTTTTAGATGGAGGCATGTTGGAGGCAGAGCGAAGCAAAGAAATACATTTGCTCCAATATCAGCTCATAAACAGACCCAAGGGACAGAAAAATAGACTCCAGCTCCCATGCAACACATGATCCCGTGATCAAATGGGCAGCTTCAAAGAGTATACAGAAGTCAAGTGCATTCCCTGAAGATATAAAATAGTAGTTTTTCTGCAAATACATTGCCATGGCAACTCAAAATGCTTAAAAAAAAGTAAAAGCACACTTCCCCCGACCGAGCCGGTCGATTTGATGTAAGATTTGTGGGGGTAGACATTTTCATTCGAGATGTTTGAGCCATAAAAATTTAGTATGTTTGTCTCAAATTATGTTGCCATAACAACTCAAAATGCTCAAGTAATTAAATTCGCAAAGAGGGGCCCCCGAACACCGCATGGCTGCCTATTGAGGACCACTGCTCTAGAGGACCCCCAGAACCCAGGTCCAGATTTTGGCCCAGGTTGGATGTTCAGGGGTGGATCTACAGGTCAAGACCACAACCAAAGGCTTCTGGAGGACTCCCAGGTTTGGCCCAGGTTGGGCATTCAGAAGGGGATCTATAATTCAAGACCAAGATCTGGGACTTCTGGAGGCCTCTTAAAGACCCCCAGAGGCCAGGTCCTGATTGTGACAAAGATTGGGTGTTCAGGCGTGGATCTACAGGTCACGACCACTATCTGGGTCATTTGAAGGTGTCTGGAGGATTTCTAGACCCCAGGTCCATTTTTTTGCCCAACCTGGGTGTTAAGGGGTGGATCTACAAGTCAGGACCATAGTCCGAAGCTTCCATTCCAGTAAGTAAATTCACAAAGGGGGGCCTCCGAACACCGCGCGGCTGCCTATTGAGGAACACTGCTCTAGAGGACCCCCAGAACCCAGGTCCAGATTTTGGCCCAGGTTGGATGTTCAGGGGTGGATCTACAGGTCATGACCACAACCAGAGGCTTCTGGAGGACTCCCAGATCACAGATTCCAAATTTGGCCCAGGTTGGGCATTCAGAAGGGGATCTATAATTCAAGACCAAGATCTGGGACTTCTGGAGGCCTCTTAAAGACCCCCAGAGGCCAGGTCCTGATTTTGACCAAGATTGGGTGTTCAGGCGTGAATCTACAGGTCACGACCACTATCTGGGTCTTTTGAAGGTGTCTGGAGGATTTCTAGACCCCAGGTCCATTTTTTTGCCCAATCTGGGTGTTAAGGGGTGGATCTACAAGTCAGGACCATAGTCCGAGGCTTCCATTCCAGTAAGTAAATTCACAAAGAGGGGCCCCCGAACACCGCGCGGCTGCCTATTGAGGACCACTGCTCTAGAGGACCCCCAGAACCCAGGTCCAGATTTTGGCCCAGGTTGGATGTTCAGGGGTGGATCTACAGGTCATGACCACAACCAGAGGCTTCTGGAGGACTCCCAGATCACAGATTCCAAATTTGGCCCAGGTTGGGCATTCAGAAGGGGATCTATAATTCAAGACCAAGATCTGGGACTTCTGGAGGCCTCTTAAAGACCCCCAGAGGCCAGGTCCTGATTTTGACCAAGATTGGGTGTTCAGGCGTGGATCTACAGGTCACGACCACTATCTGGGTCTTTTGAAGGTGTCTGGAGGATTTCTAGACCCCAGGTCCATTTTTTTGCCCAATCTGGGTGTTAAGGGGTGGATCTACAAGTCAGGACCATAGTTCGAGGCTTCCATAGGCTTCTGGAGGACCCCCAGATTACAGATCCTGATTTTGGCCAAGGTCCGTTTTTCTGGGGTGGATTTAAAGGTCAAGGCCACAATCCGGGTCTGTTGAAGAAAATAAACTTGAATTGAATTGAAGACCTCTGGAGGACACCCAGAGCCCAGGTCCTCCAAAGCATGCACCTGGTGACTTCACTCTACAGTTTTTAAATTTCAAATCTTGTGTAACCAGTCTGGGAGTGAAACTTGACTCTGATCTGTCAATGAGTTCACAAATTAACTCTACAGTCAGGTCTTGTTTTTCAACTACGGTGCATCTCACGTTTAAAGTCAATAGTCAAACGACCACAGCTGGAGTCTGTTGTTCACGCCTTTGTCACCTCACGTTTGGACTATGCCAACTCAGTACTTATTGGTGTCAGTGTCTCAGCAATCGAGCGTCTTCAGAGAGTACAGAATGCGGCGGCTAGATGCCTGACAAACACTTCTAGACGAAGGTCACATTTCACCTGTCCTTGCATGCTTGCACTGGCTGCCAGTTACAGTAAATATTGCATCCAGTTTAAGGTTTTGACCTTTGTTTACAACATCCTGAATGGTCAAGCCCCGGCTTATCTGTCTGAACTGCTTAAGCCTTATGCTCCAACCAGAAACCTGAGATCAGCAGATCACTTGCTTTTGTGCATCCCAAAAATGAGGTATAAATCTCATGGGGAGCGGGCCTTTGCGCTCCCTGCTCCTAAACTTTGGAATGCTCTTCCCCTTAGTGTTTGACAGGCCCCAGAACTGGGTCGATTCAAGTCGCACTGAAGGCCTACTTCTATCAATTAGCTTTTGATCAATGACCAAGCTTTTATTGTTTTTATGTTTTTATTGTGACTTTTTTTTTACTCTTGTATGTTTCTTTTAAATTTTTAGGTTATTCCTTTTAAATGGTAAATGGCCTGTATTTGATCTAGTGCCTTCAAGAGTCATGGAACCCCTCAAGGCGCTTTACAACACAATCAGTCATTCACCCATTCACACACACACATTCACACACTGGTGGGGATGAGCTACGATGTAGCCATCTCCTATATGATTTTTATCTTGGGGTTTTTTCTTTTTCTTACTACTGTACATCACTTTGGTCAGCTGTCATGCTGTTTTTAAATGTGCTTTATAAATAAACCTGGTATGGTATGGTAGGTCCTAACTTTGGCCCAGTTCAGGTGTTCTGGGGTGGATCTACAGGTCAATGATCCAGGTCATCTGGAGGCCTCCGGGAGAAAGAGTCAATCTAGGGGCGCCATCTTTAAATAAAATAAAGTCCCAATGAGTTGTTCTTATGTTTACAATGATCATTTATGTGTAGTTTTGTGAGAATCAGTTATTGCATGTTTTATTTACAGGAAACCATCTATAAGGGGGCAAAGCTAGAGTTATTTCAACAAATGACCACATGGGCCTGACCTGTTCGGCAGGCCCCTAATAATAATAATAGTAATCATAACTAGAACTGCAAGCAGTTATCAACGGGTTCCAAGCCATCCAGTGCCAGTCGCCCACCCGGCCCCACCCTCACCTTCGCCATTCCTCACGCGGTCCCGCCCCAAAAACACGTTCTCCCACCGGCGCCCCATCAGCTCACTTCAGCCGGCGCAGGGAAAGTAACACTCAGGATACGTCATTAAACCTCTTGCACAGCCTATACACATCTTTCACAGGCATGGCTGACTTCTCAATCGTGATTACAATGGAATTCCACCATTTCCTGTTTAACTAACGTGAAGATTTAATGAGTGAAGTCATGTGAAATCATGTTTTATCATATTATCGATTCTAAATTAAATGCTTTTTCGAAAAATAAATATATTTGAGATGTACAATGAATCGGACTGAAACAAAAACTTCATTATAAAATCCATATTTGATCTAAATATTGTCAGACAATAATCTATACATCTACCGAATACTACAAATAACATAAATACTTGATAATGTCTCTAGATTTAATAGATTTTCCACAAAAACTGTTTCATTTTGTGACTCACTGATCAAATCGTTTAAAAAAATGCTGAAAAATCCATAAATCATCATAAAATTACCAAAATATTCTCACATGGCAATGTTAAGATGCGGAATAATATGCTGTTGTTTTTAAATCAGTAAATTCAAAGCTTTATTAAATAAAAATTGGTAGATATAATTATAAGGGTCACAGCCAAAATTAAAATATTCATAAAAAAAGTGCTACTTTCTAAAATTAGTAGAATAATCTCAGATCTTAGATACATGTGGAATGTTATAAATGGTTTATATTTAATGTATACCTAAAAAACCTTCTAACAAAATTTATTCACGTTTTTGTCCAACTGTACAGAAAAACTGGCAAAAAGTTAAAAATTCATTAAAAATCTATGCTTTTGTACAAAAATCTCAAAATATTCCCAGATTGCCTCTGTGATGTGAGAATTCTTCTTATATTTGTGTAGGGATAATAAACGTTAAACTTTTCTTACAATAAAATAATATTTGCATTAGTGGCAGTCACCAAAAATAAGTCCCATAATTAAACACAAGGGGGTGCTCAAATCAAACCACCTAAGAGTGAACTTTGTGTCAAATTTCAAGAAGGTTGTGATAACAGAATTTGCGCTACAACTGCTAGTCTAAAAATGTATTTTCGTAAATATAAAGCACAAACCTCTTCGTGGAGCTGCGATTTTCGTGACATAAGCTCCATCCTACCCAGTTAACACAACCTGAAAATCTTAGCCTCTTACATGCAAATAATGATTTTTAGGAAATTTTTCAAATTTGAAATTTTAAATGATCATAAACCACGCCCACTTTAATCAATCATTACCATATTGATAAAGTAGTCTTAAGACTCTATAATGATGACAACCACTAAGTTTCGTGCAGATCCATTTAGCCGGTTCAGCAGTATAATTTCTTCCTGAAAAATTTCAAAATCTTTTGAAGTTATGCTAAAAAAACTTTTTCATTCCCCCCCAAAAATATTAAAAAGTCATATTTCGAAAAATAAGCAAATTATCCAAAATCCGTTCACATCGTTTGGTCAGCCGCTCCTCCTCTCTTGTCAGGCCATGTTTTGATTTGATTGTGTTTGATGGCCGGGAGGAGTTAACGAAAGTATGTTTGAATTACTATGCAAATTTCTACTAATTTGCATAAGTTTAAAACATTTTTTTAAATCTAAATTTGACAGACTCAATGAACATACTGGATGAGATCATTTGATTTTTTTACTAAAAAATTGAGGAGAAACATGCCAAAAACATTTTTTGGCTACAACAGCGCCACCTATTGGACAAAATTCAATTTTTTTTCTGTGATTGTAGATGTCCCTATGACTGATATGATTTGTAACTTTCTGTACAGAATATATATTTTTCATGAGTAAAAGGGCGAAAAATTTTAAAGCCTATGAGCCACGCCCACTTTTTAATTATTTTCTAAATATAGTTAAGGGTCTGATGATAAACATATCTGCCAGGTTCTGTGGAAATCCATCCAGCCGTTTTGCTGAAACAAATTTTTTGACTCTTTAGCGCCCCCTATTGGTGAATCCAAACAAAATTTGGTAGATAGGCCTTACCGCTCACACTTTGTTAGCTTCTAGGGTCTCATCATTTTATCTTGAAAAATGGTGAAGATATCATCAATTAGGACATGTGCTAGCTAGGGCACTGAATTTGACATGGGGTCATTAGCCCAATTTTCAGTAATTCCACATTTTTCTTCATCACAACGACTTAGCTTAGTCTGTAGATCATATGTGCAAAGTGTGAAGTTGATTTGACGAAAAATGACGGAATGGCATTTAAAAGTAAGTTTTGTGTTTTTTGCGATCTAGCAAAAAATCTAGTTAGGCAGAAATGGGCGTGGCCATACATAAAAGATGCAGAATCAACCAAGGATCATGTACATATAAAGTTTTTGACTGTACGACCTATGGTTTGGGAGCTAGTAGGTGAAATGCATTCACCTCCGCAATAGCGCCAACTAGGTGACTCGGGGTCCAAATTTTCTAATCTGAGTAGTGGTCACAATTTTCTATCAGACTGCCATGTCAGATTTTCCCTGGCAATCTCAGGCTCCTGCGCCCATACAGTATTAGCAGAGAAGAATAATAATAAATAATAATAATTAATAAATAATAATGAAAAATCCGTTTAAAAACAATAGGGTTCCCTGCCCGTTGGGCTTGGAACCCTAATAATAAAGAGACCATTTGGTCATTGCATAACAGTAAGCGCCCTGGCTGTTCAGCACTAGAAATTTTTTGAAGAAATTTTGCAAGGAGCTTGCAATCTGGCGTAAGATTGTGGCCATGTGTCTAAAGACATGTAACGTTTGTGGTGTCGTCCCTAATTCGTAAACAAAGGTAAACAGAGGCTCCCCTTTATGGTAGGTGTGAATTTCAGCTGGCCAATTAGTCAGCAGTGGGTGTGTTGGGTCAGTTTATCCAAAGCAGACTGCCAGCACAGGAGGTCAATAAAAATGGTCACTTGAGCACAGAAAACACACAGGCTACCCAGATGTGTCATAAGTGATGTGATGTTCACATAGACTCAGCTTTGCAGGTCTAACCAGAAACAAGAATTAGTTTACTCATCACTTAATTCAATTTATTTATTTAGCATTAGTTCACAGCTTGAGTTCTCCCAAAGAACAAAACAAAAAAAATAAACAATCAGGTCCTGACTGAAACCTCCAGTATTTTTAGTATGCAACTTGAGAGGCTACAGTACATTTTACATTTTACAGCTCCACTCATGTGCTGGATGGGTTGTCATAAGAGTTAATTGTGACATGGGGGCTTATTTATTTCCCACCTTTAGACCACAAAACAAGATCCTTGGTGCAGATCAGCAAAGTGTCAGTCTCTTCCAAAACTGGATGTGCACATGTTGGCCAGGAAGGTCTCTAGGCAGTAGAGCAATAAACACACACTGCAGTGGAGTGTGAGAGTGCTTCATTTTTTTCCTGCAAAGACATGATTGAATATAACAGTTGATGAGTATTGTTACACAATGTTTTTTTTCCATGACCATGAAAAATAAAACCACCTCACCTGGCTTTCTGATCCTTTTTCACTTTTGATGTGTCTTCGGAGATGCTGCTACGTGTCCCAACATAACTTGGATCTGTCGGATAAAACATTCGGGTTTAACTCTCACTGGGTTAAGCAGCAGGGCAAATCACATAGACTCAGTCATATTTAGTACCTCTGCACATGGAGCTGAAAGTTCAGTTTCATTCAGGAGCCACCATCCTTCTAGAAGAGAAAAAATAAAACAGTTATTACTGACAGGCTGGATGGCACAACAAGGTCTAAACTAAGATTAGCACAAATCATAGATTAAAGTAGCTATAAAATGGGTTATAAAGCTAAGCAGAGCTGCGTTGCACCACCTGAAATAAATCCCAGTTTAAACTCAATTGATATTTTTAAACTGGGCTAAAATTGATTTAAGTCAAGGGGAGTAGATGTTGGAATCAAATCTACTAAATAAACAGGCTAAGTCAGGCAGAAGCATGTGCTCAGGAAAGGAAACTAAACTCTAGATCACAATCATTTCCACTGATGTTTGACAGATTTCTTCATATTAAAGAACCGAGCGGAACTGCTTACTATAGGATGGCTTTTCCTTGACACCCACACTTCTTTTCTTAACCTCAGGAAGCGTAACACTCCACCGTCACTGGTTCCGGCCACCTCCCTGTTGTCCTTGCTATTAAAATGTAGAGCAGCCAACAGAAGTCTGCAACAGGAGTAACATGAATGATGAGTGAAAAGTGTAGGTGCTCCAATTTTATAGCAATGGATGATCCTGCAGAAACAACATTTTTGTAATGATGAGGCAGATGGTATATTTTTATCAGGTGTGTTTTGTATTAAATCTTGGTTTTCTTTATTATTCCTTCATAGCATGGCTGACAAACCAGTCACCAAACCACAAATATTCTGTACCTGTACAGAATATATATATAATATAATATTCTGTAAGTGCTGTGTCTCACTGGTCTAGCTTAGTAACACCATAGAGAAAGGGTTTTGAGATAGCATTGCACCAACTAGGTTTAATTTAAACAAAGATTAGTTGTTGGAACGCAGCTAACCGCCTTTCTGCTCAACCTTAAGGTTTGAAATGTCTATTTATTGTAGTTTTTAAGATAGAGAAGATTAAAGATGGCCAGAGTAGAGAACATTTGCCCTTTAGCCATTTCCCGAATCAGAAGCTAACTTCAGCCTCGTCAAGTTAAGCTTAAGTGCAAAGCTAACTTTGCTTCACAGACCGCTGCTCACTGAAAACAATGACTGTTGAATGTTCAAACTGCATGTGAATCCAATAGAACAAGAGCGTTAAACTTACCTTGATCCATCCGCTTCTGAGTCCTTGCAGGTCGGCATGCGGAGACGAATGATAGGCCGTGTTCGAGTTGAGCAGCGCCTCGCCTGGAAAACAGACGAGAGCAGACGGACGCAGCAGGGGGAGTGGCTGAAAGCCGGCGTTTAAGTCGAACAGTTTTGCCTACATGTGTAGCTTGCGGTTGATGATGGAGGAAGATATCGCGTTAGAGTTCATACTTGTTTAATTTTAATTCTGGTGCCAGTTAGCAGCTGAAACACATCCTCACACGCTTATGGATATCATATAGTGTAGACATGTGTATATGAAGATATGACTGTAATAATAAGTAAAGGTTATCAGCTGTAATTTTAGTGTGCTCATAGGAAATGTGACAAAAGAACACAAATCTTCATGGCCTATATAGTTATCATCAACATAACATAATTTACAGAATACATGTGACCAACTAACATTTCACATTCTACCACCGGATGTTTGGATCAGAATGTGAACCAATCAGATCTTAGATCAGGTGAGAGCCAGGCGTTTCCCGTCATCCTCTAGGTTTTGCAGCTGGTAGAGAGCCACTGCAGCACCTTGCTCTAAAATCTGCAACCGCCTTGATCTCACAAAGTTATCGTTGCCTACGTATGCATGACGTCAGAGCAAGTCGGCGTCAAGTCGGACACAAATCTAACTGGCAAGCAATGCGCGCCGATCACCGGTGGTCTAATCTGCGCAGAACTGGCTCATCTCGAACACGGCCATAGTGTTCTGACCTGCGACGCTAACGTAGCCATGCTGCATCTGTTTATGTCTTATCGGCAGATTAACCACAGCATTTCACACCATGGTTATCAGTCAATAAGTCCCTGCGCTGGGTTTTCCTGTTTTAATGGTGGTGGTACAGAAATTGAGGTGTGAAACGAAACACAACCAAATGTGATGACGTCGTTAAACTGTTGCATTCTGGGAAATATATGTAAAGGGTTTAATTTACCTATTTAATGAACCATAAGACATGAGATTCCATAGTGAATATGAAATCATTCTTATGGCTCTTTGGGTACTTTTAACCAGAAGATTGGAACTTTTTATTGCAGGGATTATGTAACCACTTTGTATTAACTCAGAGACAACAGAAGAGAGAGTCAAGTTTTAAAAGTTTAAAGATTTATTACTAAACAAATTAAAACTAGACTAACTTTAACAATAAATGTATGGTGTAACTAAGGTGAAGTGAGACGGAGAATGGTGTAGTGTGGAATGTTGTTCAGAAACAGCAAATCCGGAGAAACGATAAGTTCTGATGGGAGTGAAGAAAACACTTATCTGACATTATTTTGACTAACTGCCACAACCCGCGTGTCTTATTTAATACTATTAACTCTGTTCTTAGTGCACCGTTCACTCACTGTATCGAGCCCTCATCTGAAGCCTGTGAAATTTTTTTACACTTTTTTATTGAGAAGGTTTCCTCAACAAGGGCTCAAATCTGTCTTTGTGCTCATGACCCCTCGGTCTTTGTTTCCTGCTCTGCTGTCTTTGGCAGGTTTGAGCCAGTGACCCTGTCCATTATAACGGAGACTGTTGGTCGTCTTAAGCCTGCTGGGCCTCCAAATGATGCTGTTCCTCCTCGACTTTTAAAAGAGGTGTTACCTACAGTTGGTCCTTTGGTTCTTGAGCTGGTAAACCATAGTCTGATGTCAGGCATTGTCCCTAAAGATTTTAAACATGCAGTAGTCAAACCTCTGATTAAAAAAACCTGCTCTTGATCCACAGGATCTTGCGAAATACAGGCCTATCTTCATACTACCTTTTCTTTATAACATTCTTGAAAAGGTAGTTTATAGCCAAATATTGGCCTTCCTGGAAAAGCAAAATGTTTTAGAGGTTTTCCAATCTGGTTTTAAACCCTTTCATAGCACCGAATCAGCTCTTTTAAAAGTTTTTAATGACATATTCTTAGCTACTGATGCTGGGGACTGTGTTGTTCTTGTGCTTTTAGATTTGACAGCTGCTTTTGATACTGTGGATCATGCCGTTTTATTATCTCGTTTAGAGCACTGGGTGGGCATTAGCGGCACAGCTCTGGAGTGGTTCAGGTCCTACTTGTCAGGGCGAGCATTTTGTGTCAGACTCGGTGACTGTGTTGTCCTCCGCTCCTCTCTTGTGTGGTGTCCCGCAGGGCTCAGTTCTTGGCCCTCTCCTCTTCTCTTTGTATCTTCTTCCTCTCGGGTCTATACTGTGTAAGCATGGCATTGCTTTCCACTTGTATGCTGACGACTGTCAGATCTATGTCCCTCTTCAGAAAAAAGGCAGAAACCTCATACAGCCATTACTTCAGTGTCTTGACGACATAAAGGCTTGGATGTCTGTGAACTTTTTAAAATTCAATGATAAAAAGACTGAGGTGATGATTTTTGGTTGTCCTACTGAGACCCCCAATGTGTATATTGATTCCCTGGCCCAGTTTGTTAAGCCAACTGTCACCAACCTGGGGGTCAAAGTGGACTGTGATCTGAAGTTTGAACATCAGATTATGGCGGTGGTAAAATCTAGCTTCTTTCACCTCAGGCAGCTGGTAAAAATAAAGCCAATTCTTTCACGGCAGCAATTTGAGACAGTGATCCACGCCTTTGTTACCACTCGGCTGGATTACTGTAAAGCACTCTACATTGGGGTCAGTGCATCTCATATTAGTCATCTACAGAGGGTGCAAAATGCCGCAGCCCGTCGTTTAACTGGCACTCCAAAGTTTGAGCACATTTCCCCTGTTTTAGCTTCACTTCACTGGCTGCCCATTTCTTTTAGGATTCATTTTAAAATTCTTTTGTTTGCTTTTAAAGGTCTTCATGGCCTCACCCCCTCTTATCTCTCTGACCTGATACAGCCTTACACTCCCTCCCGCTCTCTCAGGTCTGCTGATCAGCTACTCCTGAATGTACCCAGGACTGAGCGTAAACTTAGAGGAGATTGCGCCTTTGCTGTAGCAGCTCCTAAACTGTGGAATGAGCTTCCTTTAGAGATAAGACAGGCCAGTTCCTTATCTGTTTTTAAGTCACTCTTGAAAACACACCTTTTACCCTTGCTATTGTCACCTTGTGAGATGTTGGTTACTATTTTTTTTTTAGTTTTGACTTATTTTAGCTGTTTTTGTGTGTTTCAATGCTGTTTTTATCTAGTTTTTATTCTTATTATAGGGCTGCTTTAATTTTATGTCTCCTGTGTTTTATTTATTTCTCTTTGCTGCTTTCTGTTTATTCTATTGTTTTAATGTATTTTCTGTACAGAACTTTGTTCCTGTGCTGGGTGTTTTAAAGTGCTTTATAAATAAATGAACTGAACTGAACTAAAACAGACATCGAAATGCTCCCAAACATTCACAAAGTCCACTGAAAAGCACACAAGATTGGTAGCAAAGAGGAAGTCAGCACTCTGGTCCCTTCGTCTGTTAAAAACCTCTAAAAGCTTCACCAAGCTGAAACAACTAAAACCAATTTAAAAGCCAATAAAACACAAAGAAATGGAGCAGGTGAGCGAACCGGCACAGTCTCTCCCTTCATTCTTCTTCTTCACTAATATAGATAGGCTGGACGCCCATAAGGCGTATTGCTGCCACACCAGCCAACACACTGAGTTCCCACAGAACCACCATCAACAAAAACCCACCACCTGCGCACACCCCAGTGAAAACACACAACCCCACACGGAGGCTCGCCCCACAATCACACTCCCACCCTCACCATCAACACCCTCCACCAAGGGTGTCCCACAATCCACAGCAAACTCAAAACCCCCAACACCCCGCAAGCACGTTGCACCCCCCCCCCCCCCCCCCCCACCCCCCACCCCCCCCAAACCTCCTCTGGGACATGTCAGAAAAACCCAACAAGGACCCCACCACTGTTGTCACCTCATGAGCTACATCAGAATTGTTGGACGCTCCATTCTTCACCCTCCACAAGAACTCAACCAGAAATGCCAAAAACTTCCTTTTATCCCTCACAACCACCACAGCCGCCCCCTCATCCCCACCACCATTTGACAAAGGCACATTACGCACAACTATTCCGCACCCCCTTACGAGTCCTAGGGATGGGTACCTTTGACATTTGAATCGATTCGGTACCAATTCCCGGTACCTAGGAATCGATACCGGTACCAATTTTCGATACTTTTGAGTGTTTATTATTTTAATTCTCTTTTATAATTAAATATATATTTTTCTCAATTTATAACCATATTTGATAAATATCACGATAAATAACATACAACTGTTTGTATTTTAACATCGTCCTTGTAGTTTTATAAGCTGATAATTAAACTGAAGCAAACATCTTTACTGTGAACTAAATTTACTGTGTATCTTCATTCCTTTTTCGTTTGATTTTTCCTACTGGGAAGTTAGAATTCCCAAGGAGAAAGCAAACGCACCATTAGCTGATAACAACGGTGGCATAGGAAGCTAACATATCAAGCTAACATTATCTTAAACAGTTTATTTAGCTGCTGGAGCAGATTAAAACGATGCCTCACACTTAGATCGTTGTCGCTGGTTTCATCTTCACCCAATCACCCGTCGCATTTAGTAAAGTGAAGCAAAACTTTAGAGCGCGTTCATGTTCTTCTAGTCGGAAATTTGGAGTTCCGAGAAGAAAGCAAATGCACCATTAGCGAAACAGAAGCTAACATATCAAGCTAACCTTATCTTAAGCATTTTATTTACCTACCGGAGCAGAATAAGAAGAGGATGTCTCACTTAGATCGTTGTCGCTGGTTTCATCATCACCCAGTTACCCATCACATTTAGTGAAGTGGACCCAAGCTTTAGCGTGCGTTCTTTCTACCATGCTGCTCTGTTTACAACTGGCTCGCAGCGAGAGACGACATAACGCTCTTGCGCATGCGCAGCTGTCTTGGCAAGTTCTCGATATGGACGGGTACCGAAACGAGGCACCGTTTGAAATGACGTGAATCGGTGCTCAGTCGGTACTGTGGAATTCGGTCGGTACCTTAAAAAGTACCGAATTCGGTACCCATCCCTACTTACGACGCACCGTCTCAGCATACGACACCTTATGCTCAGCCTTAACCTTCCCCACCTCCACCGCCGCCCTATACGCAACATAACCCCTATAAGCCGCTTGATGGTTCCCACCACAGTTACAACATCGGAGAGATAGATTACAACTCGTGTCATGGTCACCCCCGCACCTCCGACAACGCACCCCCCACCACACAGGCACAGGCCACATGACCATATCCCTGACACCTAAAACATCTCAAAGGATGCTCCTCGTACGTCCTCACCGTGAAACTAAGGAAACCCAACTGGACACAGGCAGGGAGCTCTACTGGGTCAAAAGTAATCAGCAGCGGAGTGGACCCACGTGCATTAAACCCCAGATGCCAAACAGCCACCACTGCCGCCCCACTCAGGGAACAAAACACTTCCGACTCAGAAACCTCTGCCATACACCACACCCTTAACCTTACAACCACACCTCGACTAGGAAACCACCACGCCCACCCCCAGAAACTTCTCAAGCTGCAGCGCTTTGTGGCACTGGGACTTATTCCGGCACACCACCACCAACAGCCCACTGAACACTACGATAGCGTCTAGCACATCCCCTACCATGGCACTCAGCTTCCGGGACACCGCCAATGGGTTAGAGGTAGCAAAATGGGCACCTCCTCCCACCCTGATACGCATCACAAAGCCACCCTCCTCCAGCCTCTGTTGCTTTAGCTGTGCATCCCAGTCACCATCTGACACATCACTGCTGCTTCGACAGTACCTCTTTGCTGCCCCCACCAACTGAACCGTCGCTCCAGCCCTACTCGTCCCCTTCCTCCCTGATTTCCGCAACAAGCGAGGCTGCACCAGAGCGAAGCTGAGCCGCTGTCTTTCCGGGCCTGTACAGGCTATCGGCCAACCACTCGAACAACCCTCAAAGTCAGCCCAAACCGTTCCTCCTGCGCCCGACTCGGTCCACCACCGAACTACTCCGCGCTGACGGCGACCTCTCGAGCCAGTGACTGTACCTGTCCCCAACCCTGTCGTTGCATTTTTCTTCTTCTGCTCCTCTCCCTTCCTCCTGGAAGCTCTCCCTTTAATGTTGCTCAGGAGGTGATCAGTCCAAGTGAGTACAGCTGTGCAGGTAGAAGGAGGAGGAAACGCACTGACTGTCTTCTGCAGCTTCAGATTTCTGGGACAAACCACAGCAGATGTAACAAATCAATGAACTGAATGTTGCTGCTAGGAGGTCACACTAACAGTGATTCTGCTGGCTAGTTCGTGCACTACAGCACCTTTACGTTTGTTAACCTTGATACCTCAACATGTGACTGTTTACCTTTATTTTATGTTTACTTCATATTTAATTTTAGAATTTTCTTATTATGTACACACTCAAAATGTGTGTATGTAAATTTTACAAGTAAACAATGTTGTAATTACTGTATGTTCAGTAAAACTGTTTACATGTTCAAAGTATTTTTTACAGAATTTTCTGGCAGCCACAGCGGCCAAAATTATTTTGTAAAAACAACAGAAATGTTTTTCATTGTATGTTTCTATTTAAACTTTTATATTTATACACTTTTTGCACCTTAAACTGACTGTGTGTGCGAAAGATTGTGTGTGTGTGTGTGTCTGTCTGTGTGTCTATGTGTGTGTGTGTGCGCGTGTCTGTGTGTGTGTGTGTGCTTGTGTGTGTGTGTGTGTGTGTGTGTATGTGTGCGTGTCTATGTGTGTGTGTGTGTGTGTGCGTGTCTGTGTGTGTGTGTGTATGTGTGCATGTCTATATGTGTGTGTGCGTGTCTGTGTGTGTGTGTGTGTGTGTGTGTGTGTGTGTGTGCGCGTGTCTGTGTGTGTGTGTGTGTGTGTGCGTGCGTGTCTATGTGTGTGTGTGTGTGCACGTGTCTGTGTGTGTGTGTGTGTGTGTGTGTGTGTGCGTGTCTATATGTGTGTGTGTATGTGTGCGTGTCTATATGTGTGTGTGTGTAATCAATTCTACCCTTATAATATTCAAATCAATCAATCAAATTTTATTTGTATAGCACCTTCTACAACATTATCCGAAGCCCAAGGTGCTGAACAACATCATTAAAAGAAAAACATTCTCAATACATGGGCATAAAAGCACGATAAAAACATAAAATCATAAAATAGCAAGCAAACAGCATTACAGATAAGAGATATTGGAATAAGACCAATCGATTAAAAAAAATGTCAGACAAAATAAAATCAAGCATCCGGTATAAAAAGAAGAATAGTTAAAACCATAATGTTAGGGCAATTCAAGTGACCCTAGCGCTGAAACGCAATCAGATAAAAATGAGTCTTTAAACGAGACTTAAAAACTTGAAGGGATGGAGCCTGTCTAATGCTCAGTGGCAATTCGTTCCACAGAGTTGGAGCCAAAATAGAAAAAGCACGACTACCCCTCGATCGAAACTTCGACCGGGGGACCACCAGAAGTTCCTGCTCGGCTGAGCGAAGAGCCCGAGATGGAGCATACCTGTTCAAAAGCGCAATAATATACGAGGGGGCACTGCCCTGGAGGGCCTTATAAATGAGAGTTAAGATTTTAAACTGAGCTCGATATTTTACCGGGAGCCAGTGCAGAGTATCCAGCACTGGGGTAATGTGCTCTCGACATCTAGTGCCTGTCAGGAACCTAGCCACAGAGTTCTGCACAAACTGGAGCCGTGCAACCGTGCACTGGGCCAGACCAGCATACAGAGCGTTGCAGTAGTCCAGCCGGGACAGGACGAAGGCATGCAACACAGACTCCAGATGAGCTCTGGACAGCAGAGGCCTGATCCTGGATAGTCTTTTCAGGTTAAAGAAACAGGACCTCACCACTGTATTTACATGAGTGTCAAGATTAATTTCACTACCTCCTTACGTGAACTGTCTTTAGTGAGCGCAAAGTCAGTTTTGTTGTACACCTGTGCAATGACGATAACACAATCCTGAATCTTAAATCTAATATCCGGTAAGTCTATGATTATATTCCCAAGTGTTGCGCATTTCCATGTTATTGTGGAAACTACCCATTGTTGCTCCTCAGCAGGGACAGGAAGCACCTTTTACAACAAACTCATCTTCTTTATCGTGATGCTATCCGGGCTACGGAGGGACCTATTACCTTACTGATAGAGTTACATCATCTCATAAAAAGAGACAGCTTTGACATTTATCCATTCTCCTCCTCTTATCTGGGGTTGGGTCAAGGCAGCAGTAGCCAAAGCAGAGAAGTAAAGACTTCCCTCTCCTCAGCCTCTTGGGCCAGCTCCACAAGGGAATCCTAAGGCGCTCCCAGGCAGGACGAGAAATAGCTCAGAAATGTTTCTATAATCATTTGTATTTGCCAGATCATTTTATTTTTAGGAATTCTTTTAACTGCTCTGTTGAGCCATGACATCATCATGTAGGGCTTGCTGCACAAAATAGTTTTATTCTGCTCAACTTCAGCTTGCTCTCCTCCTTCAGGAAGATATTTTTGAATTTTTCTTTTTCTTTGGTTTTTTACTAACTCATTTTTTAAACGGCTTTTGGGTTGATGTAGGTTTGCTCATGTTGGTTTAGGAGGAACAGGCTTTTGGAAATGTTCCAATCTGATTTTACAGTCGGGCACATCACTGAGTCTGTTCTTTTAAACGCTTTAAGTGATATGTTCTTAGCCAGGTGTGATTCTGCTATTATTTGATCTTTTGGCAGTTTTCTACACTGTGGACCACAATATTCTGCTGTCTCGGCTTGAGCAATGGGTAGGGAACACTGGATGTGCCCTGGAGAGGGAGAGGTCCCATTTTTCAGGGAGAAGCTTCTGCATGAAGCTGGGCAACTTCTCTTCCTCCTGAGCCAGCCTCTCTAGAGGGGTACCTCAGGGGTTTATTCTGGGTCCATTGTTGTTTTACTTATGTCTACTGCCTCTTAGTTTAATTCTTTTGAAGCACAAGGTCAATTTCCACCTGTATGTAGACTATCTAAGTACATTTTCCATTGAGACAAGGTCCTGCAGGCTGAATCTAGCCCCTCCAGGCCTGCCTGGTGGAGGTTCAATTCAATTCAATTCAATTCAAGTTTATTTATATAGCGCCAAATCACGACAAGAGTCGTCTCAAGGCACTTCACATAATAAACATTCCAATTCAGGTCAGGTCATTAAGCCAATCAGAAATAATGTTTCCTATATAAGGAACCCAGCAGGTTGCATCAAGTCACTGACTAGTGTCAGTGACTTGATGCAATCCTCATACTAAGCAAGCATTTAGCGACAGTGGAGAGGAAAACTCCCTTTTAACAGGAAGAAACCTCCAGAGAATCCTGGCTCAGTATAAGCAGCCATCCTCCACGGCTCACTGGGGATGGAGAAGACAGAGCACACACACACACACACACACACACACACACACACACACACACACACACACACACACACACACACACACACACACACACACACACACACACACACACACACCAACATATATACCAAGTAGTGTTTCTATGGTTACATTGTGATTTCTTAGTAAATATTCTATTTGGTGAGAGATAAAATTTATTGTATTTCTCCTAGTGGATCTATAGTTAAACAGGTAAACTAGTAGTAGCACATCCAACGTCAAGGAAAGTAAAATGTTATTATCAGGAGAGGGAGAATGTTTAAATGGTTAGCAGCAGTGTTGCAGTGTGTTGGTGGTGGTCAGAGGGGCTGATGGTGCCAAATGGCAGTCTCGCCTCTGTCAGATTGCCCCAGGGCGGGTGTGGCTACAAAGTAGTTTACCACCAATAGCAGTGTGTGAATGTGAGAGTGCATGAGTGTCCTAAACAGTGTTCAAGATGATGGCCCCCTCCATGAGGCCACCACAGCTCAGCAGAACATCATTGTAGCTTCTTCTGGGGAGAAAAACACTTCGAGAGAAAATAAAGTTAACAGTTTAAACAGGGCAAGGGAGAGTCGCCTTTACCGACTGTACACTCCACCTCCCTCTACTCCCCCACTTGTCCAGATTTAGGCTAACATCAGATTTTAACCATAGGCCCTATCAAATAAAAATGTTTTAAGCCTATTCTTAAAAGTAGACAAGGTGTCTGCCTCACGGCCTAAAGCTGGGAGCTGGTTCCACAGGAGAGGAGCCTGATAACTAAAAGATCTGCCTCCCATCTTAATTTTAGATGTTCTGGGAACCACCAGTAAACCTGCAGTCTGAGAGCGAAGTGCTCGGTTAGGAACGTATGGAACAATCAGATCACTGATGTATGATGGAGCTTGATTATTAAGAGCTTTATATGTGAGAAGAAGGATCTTAAAATCTGTTCTGAATTTAACAGGTAGCCAATGTAGGGAAGCTAAGACAGGAGAGATATCTCTCTTTTTAATTCTCATCAGAACTCTAGCTGCGGCATTTTGGACAAGCTGAAGACTTTTAACTACATTCTGTGGACTTCTTTATAGTAATGAATTACAGTAATCCAGTCTTGATGTAATAAATACATGAACTAGTTTTTCAGCATCACACCTGGAAAGGATGCTTCTAATCTTAGCAATATTCCAAAGGTGGAAAAAGGTTAGAGCATGGATGGCTTCCAGCTTCTTAAGTTTTAATGAGGCCAAAACAGAGGTCATTGTTTTCAGCCCAAGGGCTAATTATGCCTCTAAGCAGGAAGTTGACCTCTCTTCACTGGCTTCCTTTAAGAAGTAGCTAATCACTCATCTCTGGGATTAAGGTAGCGCGACTCATGTTGCGAATGACCGCAGTCACCAATTCTTGTTATGTGTCTTACCCACGTATGTCTGATCTTTGAATTGTGTGTGCTGAAACTGAATTTCATTTCTCTGTATGTCCTGCACATGTGGTAGAAAACGACAATAAATGACTTTGACTTTGACTTTTAATAAAGCATTTTTGAATTGAATTGAATCTGGGTGTGAAGTTGGATGCGTCACTAAATCTAGAGATTCATATTAGTGGAGTAGTGCGCTCTTGCTTTTTCCATATTTGCCGCCTATGTCCAGGATCAAATCGCTAGTGTGGTGGGATCACATGGCAAATTTAGTCCATGCTTTTATTACTTATCGGCTACACTACTACAACTCCCTTTACTTAGGAGTTAGCAAGGCTGCACTTGCTTGGCTTCGGCTTGCACAAGATGCTGCTGCTAGACTCCTGACCGGCACCAGAATATGGAAACATGCCTGTCTTTGCCCATCTACATTGGTGTCCAGTACAGTCAGATTCAAGGTACTTGTTTTTGTTTTAAAGTCTCTGCAGGGCTGTACTTCAAGCTATCAGTCTGCGTTACCCCAAAATTCCACTACCTCCGCTCCGCCCCCGCCTTCCGCAGCCGCTCGCTTCCGAACTCAATTTTTACTGGTACCTGCTCTACAACGGCTCCGCTCCGGTGCGGAGACCTGAGGTGCGCAAACAGGCATGAGCGGGATTTTCGAGATCTTGCGATACAGTCCGAGCAATAAACGCGGAAGTTAGATCCAAACACCCGTTGTGTGGGAGAAGCATCAAAATGAACTGTTTAATCTGCCCATCATTTGTGTTGAGAGATCAGCAGTGTTTGGATCAACAAAGTGTGACTACTTTGATAGTGGAAACTGTATTTATGGCTTACTTTTGTGCATTTAAAGTTCAACCGCCATTGATAATTGTTAAAAGTTGTTAAACCTGTGCATATGAAACAAAAAATGCTTTTTGTTTATCGATTTATTGTGAAATAACGGAAGTTGTGCTTGCTCCCTTTCCTGTTGGGAAAGCGGGGGTAAATAAAGGCCAGTGTCTAATTATTATAAACAACATTTTTTTTTCCTCAGCAGGCATTAACTTTACCGGTATGTCCACGGGGAGGGTTCATGTCGGTTTCACAGCTTGGTCAGGAGCTAGCCGTTGCAGCACAGAACCTTATTTACGTTGTTGACTGGGTGTAAAAACACCCAAATTCCGTGCGATCGGTACAAAAGCAAACGTCTTTGTTTTTTGTGTTCTGAAAGTAGTGCGCCACAAAGGACTTACTGAAACTTACTCAACGAAGACGAAATAGTGGATCATAATCTCCGGCAGCAAGATGAGCAGAAACGTAACGGGAAATGCTAGTTTGCAGTGATCACTTCATCACAGCTAAGGGTTTACTAAAGCTTTTTTTATGGCGTTTTATTGAACAGCTTAGAAACGCAGCTAAAAAAGCAGCAGGTGAACAGTTTGACACTGTTTTCACATGTCCTCATCGCAAATAGCTTTTTGAGTGCAGTTAGCTCAGTGTTGAAATGTGGCATTAGTACCTTAATAAAATTAAACAAATGTACCAGAAATCTGGATTTAAAAAGGCATACAATGTTAGTTATAATTAGATCCTAGCACGTACTCTCCATTGGCATTAGCTATCATTACGAGTTAATTACATAATTAAAATAGCATATCTCACAAGCGTAAACAAGACAACGGCCATTTAAAGTTTTAAAGCTTCCCTGGATCTCTAAATTGTTAACCAACCTGAAATTAAATAGTTGTAGGCTTTCAGACTCATAAAAAGCTTCTGGTTTGCAGTGTAATATGAGATTTGCCACGATCACTTCAGCTTTGGGTAAATCCTCCAGCGAAATAACTTTATTTGTTGTAGGTGTTCTATATGCATATGTACATACAATGTTAACTGCACATTTTCAGTAAATGAGCCTGGTGATTTATAAATTCAAATAGACACAAAATCTTGTTTTTATTCATTCTACTGATAGTTTATTTTACTCAAATTCAAATTGAGGCCTGCTGGCTAATTCTGGCCTCCTTCCAATAAAGGCCCGGGCCTTTATTAGAGGATTCACGGTAGCTGCACTTGCCAGAATTATGTTTTCAAACCTGTTTATACACACACACACACACACACACACACACACACACACACACACACACACACACACACACACACACACACACTTAGAAACAGTGCTGGTGAAACAACATCCATGGAGGTGATGGCTTCAAGGAATGTCTCATATTGGTCTCTAATTGAATTCAGCTGGGTCTTTTGAATGTCTACCTCCATCAAATCCTGCATGTGTGGATGACGGTGTTGTTGCTGCTGGTATTTGCCCAGTGTGGTCTCTGTGAACCCTGCGGCACCACAGTCGGTTCCAGCCTCTTGATGCGATCTGGAGGGGTTTGTCTTTGAACATGACATCTGTTTCGCTGTGTGAATAATGGTGAGGTGGTGTGACGTGTTGAAGCAGAACACGTTTTCTCTGGCTGACACACACCTCACATCTGTTCACAGTGACTTGGTCATGTCTCTCTCTCTTTCACTAACACACACCCACACACACAGGTTTAAGTGAAGATCAGCTGCTTGCTGTGTGAGTGATCTGTGAGTGAGGCTTGAGATCGTGACACTGATCTCAGGGCATCTTTGTTTTTTACACAGGGAAGTCGTCAGAGGTGAAGAATAATTCTGCTCTAGGATCAACAAAACGTCTGTTTCTCTTTAATAACAGAGTTAGAATCAGACGCTGAGATATTTGAAATGAGTCAAACGTGAGGATAATTATTTATTTTGCTCTTAAAAGAAATAATTTACAATTGACAATTTGAAAGGGCAGAACACTTGAATTCACATTTTCTCCCATGAGAGCCTGAACGCTTCTCCTTTAATAAAATATCACAATTCATTCACATCCGACTTTTGCTGCAGTGCGCTGAGAATCACCAACATGGACATGGATGCAGAAATGGGCTGAGAACCAGTGCTGCAAAATGTAACGGCCTCGCATTTTTAATGGCCGTAAAATCCCTGAACCAGAAGGACTAAGTTATGTGGGGAAATGTAAACAAGCTGGGAGCTTCCCAACTGTTATCAAGTCTTAAAGAATCTGGAACCCACATATACTGGTTGTACTGGTTCCCTGTACAACCAAACCCAGCTGACTGTACTCAACACCAGCCTCTAAACTTTGCTTTGAAGCATTGTTCTCGTTTTATCTTAAAATGAATGTATCAGTCACAGTTCTTTAGTTTGGCCAAACTGAAGTCTAAAGGGTTCAGGTATTCTCGTTAAACATCCAGGAACTCAGGGAGCATCCAATTTATTTTAGTCTTTCTTTTTTTCTATTTCAAACATAAATATTGTCCCAAAAGAAATATAAAAAGAATTGTAATGTCACTGTTTTTAAAACTGCTAAATGAAATGAACATGTTTCATAAATAGAGTTAAAGCATAAATAAATAAATTTAAATCATAAATATATCTTCACTATACACATGCAACAAAAGAAACAACAAAAGAAATAAAAAGGCTGACTTTGTGCAGTAAAGTAGAAAATGTTTTTCTTTGCAAAGAAAAAGGAAATAGTTCAGATTTAGCTTTTACTGCTTTTAAAACCTTTTCAATCAAGAAGCGGCACAGTCCAAAAACCTGTTTCTTTGTGCTTGTCTCTTCTCATCTCCAGTCCATCTTCTGAGCCTTTCAGTAGTCTGTTTCCAGACTGGCGTAATCTGAGAGCAGCTGGAATTTGAGCTGCTCATCCAAACATCTGGTGAAACATCTGGCTGAAGGGTGGGGAGACGCACACCTCTCACATATGCTCTCTTCTCCTTCAGGACCTTCAGTCGCGCTTCTTTTTAGTGTGAGGTAGGATCTCTGAATTTTTGTCTGATAGGAAATAAAGAAATGCTGAAAAATAACTTGTTTTCTTCTTTATTGAGATACAAATAAGCTGCTAGTTCATCTTTAGCGGAGTCCCAATTTATCCATTTCCCATGCCTCTATGTCACTGGGCTGCGGCTGCTTTATACAAAACCAACGTGCACTTTAGTGAAAACTATTTGAATATGCGGTGACGTCATCTATGTGACATGTGAATCTGCATTTTTACCAGTTACCTTGCTTCAAGCTGTCTTAAGAAATTGTATGTATAAGTTCTTCATAGTCAAACATGAACTATCAGTGTGAGCTTTGGAAACACTGGTACAGCTGTCTATTAACACACATTTGAGTTTTTATCTTCATGTTTTTTACAAATTACATTTTAATAATTGCTTTTTATACTCTAGCTATCTACACTGAACAAAAATAGAAATGCAACCCTTTTGTTTTAGCTCTCATTTTTCACGAGCTGAAATGAAACATCTGAAAACGTGTCTACATACACAAAACACCCATGACTCAGATATTGTTCTGAAATCTGTTTGCATGTGTGCTAGTGAGCACTTTTCCTTTACCAAGCTAATCCATCCCACCTCACAGGTGTGGCATATCAAGGGGCTAATCAGACAGCATGAATAATGTACAGGTGTGACTTAGACTGCCCACAATAAAAGGTCACCCGGACATATGGAGTTTTGCCTAAAACAGGCGTATCTGAGCTTTTTGTCCACCAGAGTACAGTACTCTGGCATTCATTCCTAATAGAGACCACTGCAAATGTATTGATCAAAAAAGTGTTCCACACCTTAAATGATTTTGGGCTTAGTCTTGAATAAGTTAGACACCCATGGTCTGTTGGCTTTTCCAAAGGGTGTCCCATATTTTAACTACCAAGCCTTGGTTCAAATTAAGGGCTGAGGTGAAATTATAGGGGTATGGGAAATGGTATTCAGCCTAAATATTTGCAGGCTATATCACAACTATATATATTATATATAATGTATCACAATTACTTACCTCTTTTAATCTTTTCAATTGTTTGGTGTCAACCCTAGTTTGACCTTCGCCTCACTCTCCACATCATACACTCCCCGTTTGTGAAACCTGAAACAAACAAGAGAACAGCAGCTTTGTCAGACTTCTTTAATGTGTGGGCGTCTATGGTGGAGGGTACGGCGGCCTGATGTCTCCCCTTGTGTGGGACAGTCATACATTTTTATTACTTTTCACAACTCCCGCAAATAGGGCTTGTGATCATGATGTCATCAGCGACATTACTATTGTAAACAGTCTCATTCTTGCAGCTTAAATGAATCTATTATTCATTTCATTGGTTGTATCACACAGCCTATGGTAAATCGTTGCTGTGTTGTGGAGTGCAACACCTGATCGCCAGGGAAAAAGTTGCAAAACAGGCAAATTTTTCACCCTTTCATCTGCTTGGGGGCACAGCCATGAAACCACGTAAGCGCCGGCTCAACAAAGTCTCGTCAGCTCACTTGGATCACAGCTTTACGGCAACTAAACACCACCCTCCAGATCATTTTCATTCTTGTAAGTCATAGATGGTGTACGTTGTTTTTTCCTTCAACCATGACATGCAACAACATGACATGTTGTTTAACAGTTTCTTTCACCCAAATCTGCTTCTTCTCTGCAACATACTGTTTGTTTTCATGGTTTGTTTACACTCCTGAGGCCGCCAACATGTCGGTGCACATCCCAGAATGCTATATGATCACAAGCCCTATTGACTCTGTCCCGCATTATTCTTGTTGGAATAAAGACTCGTGGATTTAAAGTGTTAAGGGAGTCTTTGTTTTTTATCAGAATCATTTTTGTTACGTCACGACAAGAAATCCTCTATGAAAAGGTGCAGAAGATCTGAGAATGACCAAAAACACATCTTGGTCAAAAGCAGGTTTCCCAGTAATTAGACTTGTTCGCGCTAAAATCCAAAGTACATTCTAACACAGATGAGGTGCGGGGGCTGTGTTGTTTCAAATGCATACAGGTTAAACCCTTGAAAGCACATTTCAGAAGTGCTGAGAAATTTTATTTGAAGCCTTCATTACTTATTCTCAGAATTTTGAGAAAACAGTCAGAACTAGAGCTGGATAATGATTCAATTACGATATATCTCCATAGATTAAAAAAGGGTAGATAAAAACTTTGATGACACAAGTTTTCTTTCTCTTTTTCGTTATAGTTTATCAGGTAGCTTAACACAAGACTCCCAATAATCAACAACACAGATCCAGGCATGCTCCATCACCAAGCACTCCCCTCTCAAACCTCAACAGACAGCATGTGACTTAGACAAGAAGTTGCAGCAACAAGATGCGGAGGAAGTTGTCCCAAAAGAATATTCGCTTTTACAGTTCTTCAGCGGACAGAGCTGCACTCGGATCGTTACGCCTTCCTCTTTTGTCCGTGAAGAGAGAGTGACTATGTGTGTGTGTGGGTGTGGGAGGAGGGGAATGCGTGGGTGGTCCATTTCAGCTCTGTCTGTTGTCTGTAAAACAGGGTGGGGGTGTGCACGGACCGTTTTGCCTCCCTCCATTGTCGGGATGGGGGGGGACCATTTTGGTTCCGTCCATTGTCCGTGGGAAGGGGGAGTGGGGCGAGAGTGTGTGGAGAGGGTCAGATGTGTCTCACGCTCAGTGTGAGCCCTGGTGAAAGCAGGATGGTATGAATTCATTTCTTGTCATGTTTGTAAATAAAACATATCAATGTATATTGTGAATTATGTGTGGCAGCTACTCATTGATGTGAAGAAGAACTGAAATCTTAATTTCTGCTAGAAAAATAAAAAAAATCCTCTTTCCTCAAATCGTTCAATCCTTTAAATGAAACATTGAATTTAAGTCAGAGGAAACACTTTAGAATATTGTTGCTGAGGACTACCTGAATATTGTTGTGTTATTAAACATTTATAAATGTTTAGTATGTCATTCGTAAGTCATTAACAGATCGTTTGATAGGTGTTAGATAATGATGTACAAATACTTTATAAAGCTCATACTAACATTTACAAATACATTTATAAGTATTTAGTAAGTCATTAATTAATCATTTACATGGTATTAGGTAATAAATGCAATTCATTTTAGAGGCTGTGATGACATTTACAAATGTTTAAACAATTATTTACTAAACATTTACAAAGACTTATTTGCACATTTGATAATGATTTATAGATTATGCAAAACTTTTTAAAGTCACATTCGTCATATGTAAGATTATGATGCACCTAAAAATCCACAGAGTTATAAACCCTTAGAGCTGAAACTGAAATGAATATTTGAATAAATAAAATGTTTGGAAGTTTTGTGTCATGTATCAACAGTATCCTCCTAGTGTGACTTTCTGGGTCCGTTACGTAGACGGGAAGTTCTGCTGCTCAGATTAAAGTCAGCGTGAGCAACACTCAGGAGGAAGTGCATTGCGCTAAGCTAGCATTGCGCTAAGCTAACATTTCTCAACAGCAGAAAGAATCCAGAAGCTTCAGGCATGATAAGGTGTGTTTTCAAGAGTGTAAATGAAGGCAAATTTACTATAAGCAATGAAGTAGAGTCAGATAATTATTTAACCGCTACCGCTAAAAGCCAACATCTCTTTAACACTAAAATGTTTGCTTGTCGGCTTATTTAATAACCTCGTACAAATTTTTATTTCAGTTAGATTTGTTTAGAACTATGCAATTTTATCATATATCAGAAAGGCAAAACAAAAGTGATCCCATTTATTTGATGGATATTTATTAATTTGTTAATGTGTTTTGAGCTATTAAATTAAATATTCACTTTATTTTAGGAATCGGCTTCATCAAACAGCTTGGTCTGGGCAAATCCACCCTGCTCAGCTGAATCTGCACCAGAGTTAACAGGCAGCAGCTTAAATGGAGTTGAAATACAAGTTATAGAAAAATACTTTCTGGTCATTTTTTGGACTTCAGTGCTAGTCTGAGACTGTCTATCAAGAACACCATGTTCAGACATAAAGGTGTCCATATGTGCTCTTGGCACCAGGATACCTTAGGCTGCAGTTCAAAGATTGACTTTGTTGTGGACTCAGCTGATCTGCAGCTGCATGTCTTGGACGCTCAGGTGAAGAGAGGGCGGAGATGTCATCTGACTAATACCTGGTGGCTTCAATGGTGGGGGAGGAGGACGTTGGTCAGACCTGGTAGGCCCAAATGTGTTGCGAGGGTCTGTTGGGAACATCTGGTGGAGTCTCCTTTTAGAAGAAGTTTCAGTTCCCACCTCTGACAGAATTTCCAAAATGTTCCGAGCTCGTTTCTGGTGAGAGTTGGACTCCGCCAAGGCTGCCCTTTGTCACCGTTTCTGCTCATAACTTTTATGGACAGGATTTCTAGGCGGAGTCAAGGTGTTGAGGAGAACCATTATGGTGACCTGAGGATCAGGTCTCTGCTTTTGCAGATGATGTGATCCTGTTGGCTTCATCAGAACATGATCTCCAGCTTTCGCTGGAGAGGTTTACAGCCGAGTGTGAAGCAGCTGGGATGAGAATCAGCTCCTCTAAATCCAAGACCATGGTCTTGAGTCAGAAACGTTTAGAATGGCCTGTAGTTGATGTAGCACATTTTAGAGTCCTGGAACCCCCCAAAGTTCTTTACAACACAATCAGTCATTCACCCGTTCACACACACATCCACTCGCTGGTGGTGATGAGCTACAGTGTAGCCACAGCTGCCCTGGGGCGCACTGACAGAGGCAAAGCTGCCGAGCACAGGCACCACCAGTTCCTCCGACCACCACCAGCAGGCAAGGGGGATTACGTATCTTGCTCAAGGACACAACAGCAGAATTCTATATCAGGCATTTAGATCTTAGTACCCTCCGATCACTGGACAATCCGCTCTACCTCCCGAGCTACTGCTGCTAATGATAAAATGAGTGGTAATATTGTGTATATTCAACAGTGATTTTAAAGCTAAAAGGCAGAATAAATGTGTTTTAACTCATTTTTTACTTTATCTTGTTGCATTGAAATTTCACCTTGCCCCATATTGAGTCGTCTCTGTCCCACAGATGGCAAGTTGAGATCTTGTCGCCCTTGTGGAGTGATGGAAGAAAATATCGATACACTGAAATATGGCAATATTCTGTGTTTATGATACTGAATTGTTACTCAAAAGCAGTGTATTGAGTTTTTCTGTAAACATTTACTGTATTTCTTTTGTGCTGGGTGGTATCAGTTTTTACCGCTGACTCTCAGGTAGGGTTGGGCATTGAGAATCGATTGGAACCGGTTCCAACTGTTCATTTTTCCCAGAATTGTTCAAAGTTTTTTATTTTGATTCCTAGTTTCGATCCTTAGAATGCAGACGGAAGAGGAATCCGTGGCCGATCTCCGTGAAAAATAAACGGGATCTGCAAATTATGATCAACGCTTTCCAGAGCTGATCACACCAGCTGTCTGTGTGCAACCCGAGTCCACCCTCCCCCCACCCAGATATAAACAAACACGTCTGCCGAACTTTTACTCCGTGATGTAAACTAACTCCTGCAGCGTAGAGGAAACATGATAAATACGTCAACACGGTGGATTTAATAGAAGCTTTAAACCCTGCGCACTCATATGAGGACATTACCATTTTGCCCTTCTGCACCATAATAATTCCTTTTTTAAAACTTTGACCTATTGGCCTCATTTGGGGCCACTGGCAGCACCATCTAGTGGTCAAAGAACAACACTACACCCATTTACCTGAAAATAAAATGGAGGGAGTGTCAGCCAAAAACTTCTATGGCCACTCCTGACACAAAGGCCCTGTCCACACGTAGCCGGGGATCTGCCAAAACGTAGATATTTTTCTACGTTTTGGCCTGTCATCCACACGAAAACGGATCTTTTTAAAAACTCTGGCCAAAGTGAAGATCTGCGTTTTCTTCGTTTTGGTTGTCTGCGTGTGGACAGACAAAACCGGAGTTTTAAGGTCCGCAATGTCACTTTCCGCAACAAAAAAATGCTGACATCACGTGTGCGACCTGTGTTTACACTAGCCGACAGAATGGATGCCCTCAGAGCTGTGCTCGCTTTATCAATTGTCCAAGCGCTTTTTGCTTGTTTGTTTTTGC